GCGGAATGACATGCCTGCAGCAGGGCTCCCGTCATCAGCTGCACCATCTTTCCTTCTGTGCTCAGGTTCGGCAATGGTGATGGTGGGATTTCGGCGCATGTGTATCTGATCTGGTCGGGAATCTCTCGTGATAGCGCCATAGAGTGCATTATCATCGTCAAGTTGGTCGTCCTCATCAAGTCGCCGAGGCCCAAGGCCTCTTTCAGTTTCTCTAGGGCCTGGAATGCGGAGGACCTCGTTGTCCTGGTTCCGCTGTCGTTCCAAAATGGCGATATGCTCAGCTTTGGAATGGTTACGCATACCAACTATCATGTCCTCCTCGATTCCATCACTCCTCTTGACAGTCTCGGCGAACGTAATAGACCCAAACGGGCGAGGTTGACTTTGACTCGGACTTGGAGCCTCCTGAGGCTTTGTGGCAGATCGCGTCGTGGTCTGGGGTTCGAGGTCCGCATGTTCTTCAGCTAGATCATGGTTATTGACATCTTCTATCTTGTCGTCATGAAACGTTGTCTCACTCCCACTGCTGCTACTGACAGCCTTCTCGTTTGGGGCGATGTTCTCGGGGGATAGGAGGACACCGTCGTTGGTTACTCTGTGAGATGTTTCGGTGCTGGTATTGACCCGAGTAATGTCTCGACCATTCACACCTTCCTCGACACGACGGAGATCATCTCGTGCTTTTGACTTGGATTTGCTCAGGGGCATGCGGCGCTGTCTCACATCTCGGACTAGCCCTTGAAACCGCTTCTCGAACCAGTATAAGCGAAGCAGGACGACAGATCCGTGCAGCGTGATGGGGTTTGACAGCATGGGGAAAATATACATGACGATCTGCTGAAATGTGTTAAGAAGATTGACGTCTACAGGGTTGAGGCCTGCCTGGCTGTTGGAGCCACTTGCGAAAAGCAATGCATCTGTGTATGAGACATTGCCCTTGCCACCTGCGAATATTAAAATAGACGCGACAATTGTAGCAGAGACAACCCAGAGATCTATCACGTTAGTCAGTATAAATGCGATGAGATAGAAGAAGGATGATGATCCAGAGGGCGGTGTGGGAGATACATACAATGCGCGGTGATGAAGTTGAAATGGGGCTTTTTTGAGGTAAAGGAGTCCCCAAGAGACTTGGCTTTAGCCAATGCACGGCTACGGAATCCTTCCAACATCGTTGAGGTTTGAAGACACCAGATAATGGAAAAAGGGAGTTTTTAAAGCGGTCGGGAATGCTTAATGATGATGATGCGCCTGGTTGAGGATGCGGCAAAGATTGAAATTGGTGGTTGATACACAGGAGCCGGCCAGTGTGACGAGCGGGAATGGCTACGAGGTAGCGATTATCACTGTCAGTCTCGCACCCAATATTGGGATACAATGATGGCAGTGAGGCAAAATGACATGTCGGAAATGCTTTCGTAGGTAGAGAAGTGTGTCCGCGACTGGTACTTTGGCGGAATAACGGCGAGAACTGTAAAAAGGGCAACAATGGAATTTGGGCGTGGTCGTTAGGTTGGTGCTTTGATAAGAGCCACGGGCGCAACGCTTGGCTTTATATTTTTGACAAAAGGAGCAATCTTGATCCTGATCCTGGTCCTGTGGCCTTGGGATAAAGAAGACAAGGAAGTTGAGGAGAGCAAGGGAAATCGAGAGTCGAGCGGGCGGTTTTAAAGGTCCTAGAAACAGTTTTCCCCCTTTATACAATGACGGATGGGTGAATTGATGATATGATACCCGGTGAACAAATGTACTGTGACGAAAACAGCGTTATCAATGGGACCTTGTTGTTCAGATATGCAAGATATGCAAGAAACAAAGCAAGGTGGTCCCAGGGTCTTGGGACGGCAAATTTGGTCCCCCGTCAAATAGGAATTGAGGATCGCGCGCACGTTGCGACAACGGGCGCACCTCACAGGTCCTTGACCGTGCGACCGTATGTGACGAGATCTATGCGATCAGCAAAGCAGGCTGTACCCAGACCGCTGCCTGGTGAAACCAGCGCAGCAAAAGGAGTGAATCAAAGGATATTCTCAGCTGTCTGGGCGGGCAGAGGGATAAGAGGTGTGTGATATCTCAAATTGGCGGGTCCGGGAGTGTGCCGCGGCCAGAGCGAAAGACTCTGTGCGGTGTAAGAATGAGTAAGTCTGTCCGGGAGCTAGGGGAGGCGCATGGCGCAGGGCGCCAACCCGAAAGCAGGATGAGCTGGGCTTGGCCGCTTCGTCTGGACAGTATCAATTATGCGAAGAGGTAGTAGGAACTGGAGGTGGTGAGAGCGTGGGAGAGGAGACGAGGTGAGAGGTGTGGCGAGGTGAGCAGGTAAATTGCCGAATAACACCAGCAGCACGTCCACCCCAAGAAGCAATAAAGGGGCCCTTCGCAAGCGGGTAAGTCGAGAGTTCACCCTAGTGCGATGCACTTGAAGAAGTGGTCATGGATGGCCCAGGCGGTGCGAATATGTAGAGGGACCGGTTTGATAAAAAAAGGTTGATTACATTAGTGCCAACGCTTGCGTGCATGTGGGCATCTGGGAAGCCGCAACTTCTTGAGCAACTGTTGCAGAGCAGCGCCGAACCCATGTAAAGATCCCTGGACCAGGAAGAGCAGGCAGATCGAGAGCAGGTGCTCGCACCGCCAGCGCATACATAACTCAACTCGAGCCCTCCATCCCGAGGAATGACCATAAGCGCTCCGCCGGTTCTGTGTCTGCGGCGAACCGTATTGCGTGGTCGGCGAGGGCGGTTCCAGCCCGTCCACTAGTCAGTCGTCTCTTTGTGGTCTCTGTACGCCGGGAAAAAGAGGCGCTGGTCTGGACCCTCTCCCTCGTGCTTGGCTGGGAAAGGCGCGAGCACGTCCACCAGCTAGAGCGTGGGTTGGATGCCTCCCGACGAGTTCTCTTGGGGCAACGTCCCGATGGATTCAAGCTTTGGTTCCCTCAAGCGGTGCCACCCATGCCGGCCCCCACTGCAGCCCCCGGTCTGTCTGTCGGACCAGCCATGATGATCCATCCATATGTGCGGCGCCTGCAGGACATGGTAGGGTCCTGGGAGGTGGTGTGGTGTGTGGCTACGGGAGGTGTGCATCAGCCATGCAATAATGCCACTCGCGAGCAGTTTCAGCCAGGAGCCATTATCTACGACATGGAGGAAGAGCACAGACTGGGACAAGGGGGTATCGCAAATAGAACGGGCATCATCAATTGACTGAATCATGGCAGGAGCGCGCACGGAAGGTACCTGCCTGAGTTCGCAACGGCCAGCGCCTCAATGCATTCGCCGTAGTACCTGAAGCCCAGTGACCAGCTAGAGCCCCTTCCGCCTGGGGGTCTCTGGAGTACCGTCTGGAGTGATGTACCCTTGGTTGTACTCACTGTCTCCATGATGTCATTCCATGCCCGGCACCAATAACCAAATACTTGCGAATCGGCCACGCCCTGATAGGCTGTGAGGTATCACCCTATCTTTCTTTCGAACAGTAGACATCAACCAACTGCGAGTTCGGTTGCATTCCCAACGCCCCCCTGCACCCGATCGGGGTGTAACAACTGAACCCTGAAAGAGAATGAGAGAAATAAATCCTGTTCTTTCGCAATTGCCAGCAACCGGAGGGGAGAAGAGAGAAATTGGCCAGCTGAATACCGGCAATTCGGCTAAGCGCGGAGTTCGTGTTTGCCACGGCACCCAGCAGAAATTGGCTGGCTGCCTCTTGATTTTTTTTTTTCGCTTGCCTTGAATCGGTGCACTGCGTCACCTGCTCACTCCCATTTGTAGGCACTCAGGCACTATGTACGTATCCCTTGCTAGCCCGTGTGCCGTGTGTCTGCGTGATCTCCGATCAGAATCAGGCCACAGGATCGTCGCCAAGGCGGAAACTCGATCTGCCACATACTGCATGTCCTCTATCTACCCGGAGAAAAAAAAATTATACCAATTGAAGGCGGCCGTAGAGCTACCGATCAACGACTATATTTAGCGTGAGAGCTGGAGGGCAATACCGATATCATCTCCACGAGGCTGACACATGCCTGCCATTACACACATCTTAGCTCAGACCATATTCGGTATTGCCTACAGACTATACTATACCTCGCCGCTCGGGGACTTGCGGCGGATTTGATCAAGACTCTTTTCGTAGCTAATCCACTCTTATCTCGGGATGCCAAGTTGATATGATGGGTGTTCCGAGATGTAGGTGTGATTATAGATATGCCAGGTTTCATCGGCTGCAACCACACCCCTTCTTAGCTTGAAGATGCTAAATTATGCTTGGGATATAAGCCCTGGACGGAGACAGTCTTCTGCATGTACAAAAGTGCCGTAAGACCCGACACTCTCGGTAGTTTTTTAGACTCAGACTCGGGCCACGTAAATCCGCTAGCTTCACCTTGTTGTCTCTCACTTGTACCGTAGAGAAGTCAACTCGCGGCTATACAGCCAATTGGATACGGGTATTTGATGAGCTCTGAGACATGCTCTTATCTCGGTTTTTTCCAGTGAGTCATTGGTGAGAATGGGCCTTGGCACGGGAAGACGAACATCATCTCGGAATGCTTACTCTTTCGGCGGTCTGATTCGTCACCTGAATCAAGGACTCTTCGACTTTCAACTAGAAAGGGAGGCACGTGCGATTCTCATCGATTTCATTCCATAGAAAAACTAGGACCGCCTTGGCATGGCTGGTTCATTTGATAAGGCTCAAGCAAAGGGGTAATGGTATTTGGAACGATCCGGTGTAAACGAGCTAGTAGTATCTTTGGTGGTTCTAGACCATCTTGTAAGGCTGCAGATGTTTCACAAGAAACCGCGACCCTTCAGAATGTGATATAAAATGAAACAAGTGAGCAATCTAGCTTCTCCCGCGTACCTGCAAAACCCAATCAAATCCCATACCGACTAACGCCGTGCCGCTCTTTGTGAGCCGTATATATAGAAAGTCCCCAAAACATGTTCCACCAACTCGTTTAACGATACGCACAAAGACATACAGTACCAGGTAGGTCTAGGCTAACCTGCCGCCCTCCTGGCTTTCTCACGGTCAATCTTCTTGAAGAAGGCATTGCTCTCCTTCTTCTTGCCCTTCTTTAGCGACTGATTCAGCCTCTTGTTCTGTTCGATGTATGCCATGTCTTGCCCGCCGCTCAGTTCTCCGAGCGTTCCGGCTGTCCGGCGAGCCGCGCCCTTCTTCTTCGTCTTGCGACCCATTGTTCCACTATGGAACAAATCATCCGTGATATCTTCGTCCTCCATGCCCTCGTTCTCCACCAGCACCTTCTGCAGGAGCTCGCGCCGCTCCCCTGGGGACGCGAATGCCAGGCCAGGTGTTTTCTCGATGTTAGCCAACTGTGTAATCACCTTGAAGGCGTACCCCTGATCCACCAAGAATGCCTGCCGCTTCGAGGAGAAATACATCTCCTGTGTATCCTTGGACACCAGCGAATAAAAGAACGCATTAAAGCCTTCGTCGTTTCGCCTCTTGGCCCGTAGAATACGCCCCAGTCTCTGAGCCTCCTGACGCCGGGATCCGTAATGAGAGGAAATCTGGATGAGACACGTAGCCTCGGGTAAGTCGAGCGAGGTGTCGCCGATCTTGGAGAGGAACAGGGTATTCACGTTGGGGTTATGCTGGAAATTTTCCAAAACCTGCAAGCGCTCAGCCTGCCCGGTGCCTCCGTAGATGTATGCTTTGCCGAGCTTCAGCGCGTACGCCTTCAACGCGTACACGTTATCTGAGAAGACGATAATCTTGTCGCCTCTGGACTCGTGGTAGTTGATGAGATATTGGCAAGCTTGGAACTTCCGCGGGTTCATGATATAGAGCAAGCCCTTCTTCCGCGAGGGCGCTCGGAGGTACTCGTCATAGAACTCGGTCGGCATGGGGCACCAAACTTCAGCGCACTGGACTCGGGCAATGTGACCTTGTTTGGACAGCTCCATCCAGTTCGCTTCAAATAGCTTCGGGCCAATCAGGAAGTTAAGATCGGAAATCTTGTCATCCTCACGAAGGAGCGTAGCTGTAAGCCCCAGCTTGGAATGGGTTTTGATCGACGAGGTGACTTTGCGGAAGATGTTGGCCGGGACAACGTGAACCTCGTCCAACAACATCAAACCCCATTCACGGCCTGTCAAGAACTTCATCATCTTATCCGCATCATAAGATCGGGCTCTTGATTGTGTAACCATGGAGTAGGTGGTGACAATAATTCCAGTGCTTCCAGTGAAGACGTTTCCCTTCGAATCAGACGTGAAAGCAACGATATCGTCCGGGTTGATGTTAGACCACTTCAAGAATTCGTTACGCCATTGCACGACCGACATAGAGCTGGTGCAAAGGACAATGACGCCCTTCTTGATAGTGCAAGCAGCTGTGATCCCCACCAGAGTCTTACCAGCACCACAAGGTAAGACGATCAGACCACTCTTCGCTCGACCGTTACCAAACATCTTGCTTAGACTCTTCTCCTGATATGGCCGAATCTGGGTACCGGGCTTGAGATCGATGTCCAAATTGGGATTCACTTCATCTCTTCGGAAATCATACTCTTCAAGAACTGGGTATCCCAGGTTCAGACACTCTTTCTGGACCGTCTCAACGTCCCGGTCGGCAATCTCGAAGGAGTGTGTGACTTCTTGATCATCATCATCCTCCTCGTTGAGGGTCGCGAAAACATCGCTTTCTTGGACCGGCTGGCCTTCCTGTCCCTCCCCACCGCCTTGCTGCAAACCGTTGGCCTGTTTCACGCCAGCAGCATTCTTTGTACCGGGGATCACCAGACCGCCGATCTTGGGAGCTGCTGATGTCGTGATCTCTTCTGTGCCTTGTACTCTTAGAGGCCCAATCTTGGGATTCTTGAGTAACGTCTGGAGCATGTTGGGATCCGGGCTTTCCACATAGTACTTGGTGTTTTTGAGCACCAGCTTGACCTTGCCGTAACTCTGTGTGCAGCTCGTGATGAACGTTCGAATCTCCTCGGGCAGGGGTGTCTTGAGGAACCGCTGGAGCGTGTTGATGATATCCTGCGGCGACAGACCGACGGAGACGGCGGCGTAGAGACTGTGCGTCGTGAGGGCGTACTCGTGCATGAACGTCGGTCGTGACAGTGGCTCGGCGATGGTGATCAGGAAATCCTGGGCCTGCTCTGCGAGCGGATTAAAGCTTTCCAGGATGATTCTACCCTTTTGCGGATCGATCCAGAGCGGCCGGTTCTGGTGGTCCTTTTTCAGGTCAAGATACGAGAAGTCATGGTCACCAAAGATGTGCGGCAGTGGCTCGCGGATGTGATGTTTTTTCTGGTAATGCTCGAGCGAGAAGATATCTATGTTCTTGTCGATATCGCGCTCTAGGACCTCGTCGACCGGCCCGTCATCCTCCTCCACCTCATCGGCGCTCTCGTAGCTGCGTGGTGTCCCGGCGCCGGGAGTCGACATGCGTGACGACCTTCCCGCCTTAGCACTCGGCTGCGCCGCCGGGGGCGCTTTTCTTTTCGGTGGCATTGTGAATTACGGATTAGGGTGCAATGCCAACCAGAAAATGCAGCCGCGGCTAAGGATACCGCGTCGTGAGATGATGAAAGCGTCGAGTCCTGATGAACAGGCTCACTTTGAAGGAGAACAAAAGTTAAGTCCTGGCACCAGGCTGAGCTGAGTTGATATGTCAGCCGAGACCCCTAGAAATACGCCTGACGGCCAGCAGGCAGCACCTGGCAGGTTCCGCGCCGCGCTTCTCGGAGGACCCCGCTAAAACTTGGGGTAATACCACCACTACGAACAAACCGATCCTCAAGCCACAATTTTAACTTGCGACTTCGCGTTGAGTGATACCTCCAAGCCACAACCAAGACCAAACGTGGACGTGGAAAAGATTATAGACCATGTGGTATGAGAGCTCCAAATGAAGGCCTACCTTGCCCCTCCGGATGTTGGGTGCTAACTGTCTACCAGCAAGCATATCCTCAATGCCCAGGTTGCGATTCGCTCGCCCTGCTGTATGGCCTCCCGACGACCCCTTCTTCCGAACTGCGTCTTCTGACTCGTCATAAAACAGGCAAGAAGTGGTTCGACTGCGCCCAGTGCCACCACGAACAGGAGTCTCATGAACTCCTGCAGGCCCTCGAGATGGTGTTTGCTTGCAAGAAGTGCAAGAAATGCTTCCGAAAAGACGCCCAGGAGTTCGAGGAAAGCGACGAATACTGCCCCCACTGCGACAATCACTTCGTAATTGACGCCAAGACACCCAAGGCTGCCCTTACCGTGGAGAGCGAGGACGTGAGGATGGACAACAAGATGCTCAGGGACGAGCGGGTAAAACAAAAGGACTACAGGACCATCTTCGACCCCACGGAAGAGGCCGACCAACTGGGGTAGGCTGGCAGCTTGCTGGAGGAAGAGGCACGGCAACTACGTTCGGGCACGAGGAGGCTTCCAGGGCATGGACCTGGATTACATTTGATGATACATATGACGTAGCGCAATTCGAGGTTTAGACTGCCTTTGTCTATCAAAATAGTTTATATATTCCCGTAATTATTCAGCAGCAGAGTCCTCTTGGCTTCTCGTCAGGATAGCAGCGCTCCCAGTTCCTGGGGTTCGGCCAGTCTTCTTCTTGGCAGCCTCTTCCTGCTTCTCCTGCTCGATTTCCTTGACGTAGCCCTCGATCTCTTCCGTGTCCAACATTTCGATCGCAGCGCCGGGAATCATTAGCGCGATCTCGATGTTCTTGGCGCCAGTCTGAACCACCTCAAGTAGTGACTTAATCGCCAGTCTGATGGTCGTCTCACGGTCCATGTCATCCTTGTAGTTGCGCTCCAGGAATTCCCGAACAGTCTTGCTCGATCTGCCGATGGCATTTGCTTTCCTATCGAACAATTAGATGATAATCTCCCAAACCCATGATGTAATATTGCCTACCATGCCGAGTAGATACCAGAAGGTTCTGTCTGGTACAGTCTGGGGACCTTGCTTCCGTTGTCAAAACCGACAACCAGTGTGCTGATACCGAATGGGCGGACTCCACCGGCCTGTGTGTACCGCTGCTGCACACCGGCGACGTACTTGGTGATGTAGTCGATCGTGACGGGGTCCTCAACGGACAATCGGTGGGACTGGGCCTCTAAGCGAGCCTTGTCGACGAGAATTCGAGCATCTGCGTTGAGGCCGGCGAAGGCAAGGGCGACGTGGTTGTCGAGAAGTTGAATCTTGGAGGGGGTAATTCGGGTATCCTGAAGCTTCATGGCAGACCGCTTTTCGCATCCCAGCACCACTACATCTTCACCCTTCACACCAACGGCACAGGTTCCTAGATTAGATGCACCATGAGCAACGAGTCGACTGAGGGCACCTATGAGGCAATCAACCCACCTCGCTTCACTGCTTCGCCAGCATACTCGACTTGGAAAACGTGGCCATCGGGACTGCCTCATTGTTAGACGACGCTTTGTAAGCTGCTATTTGAAACGAACCTAAAGACTGGATATCGCTGTTAGTAAACGCAATCAAAGCTGCCATTAAATGATATCTCACTACATACCCGACAGCGCTCGGTCGTATCCGGAAGCCATGATAGTGTTCTTGCCTGAAGAGGTTGTGGATAAGTGCGGACGGTAAAGAATAGGCCTCCGGCAATTTTATTGTGTGTGATGCTGGGTGTTGAGCGAGGTCAAGGCGGGATGTTGGCAACGAAGGAAGCTGAGGTCGGTGGAGCTTCGTCACTCCTGTAGCCTGCCTGCACGCGGTCCGACACAAGCTACACTTGCCTGAGCTACTGGTTGTTGCCCGCCATCGAGCTGTGTGTGGGGTTGGGAGCTATCGGGAAAGAGTTAATGCGGCCCGTTGAAGGCTGCATCTACCTAGGTAGGTACCTTGTACCATTCGGACAACCTGAAGCCATTCCAACCTCAACCTTTCAATCAACTTTATGTTTCTGTTGTTACCTTAGGTAATGTGTTAAAAAAAAAACCCTTGTTCGTCTCACAGTGGGTATAGCGTTTTGAGCTTTTTACTTTACTTTAAATTAAATACTGGAATATGCCTTACTTTTAGTCCACCTATCTGGTTTTCCACCCAATGCAGCCCCTCGCCAGGAGGAGCAGTTGCCCACATGCAATGAAACTCGAATCCCAATTGCTGAGATGGGGAACGAGAACACTCAAGCCAAAAAATACCACCTTCATCATCTCATGTGCCAAGATTTATCCCATCGTTATGTCTTTGCAAGCAGACCAGCTGCGCATGTAATGCTTGTTTAACAAATGCCCTTCACGCACCTCTTGTGACGATCAAGCCACTACCTAGGCAAAAGGAAATCCTTTGCCCAGCTTTCTCCGGTCTACCCTTATATGTCGTCGCAACTCTGTAATTATACACCCCAATCTACCACTATGCAAAGTCTAAAATCGGGTGACTTCCACCCAACGGTTCTGCTGCAGCACGGCCGCCACATTCTCGACCTTGTCGACCAGCCGGGATTCGAAAGCCTCGAGCCAGAGTATCTCAGGTAGGCAGTCATGCGTCGCGAGGTTGATATCCCGGTACAACTCCAGGGCAATCGTCATGGGAGCGAGGAGCAGGTTCGGCTGCACCGTGCTCTCCAGCGTCGACTCGAGGCCCCGGCAGATGCTGGCCGCCAGATCCCGGGTCTGCTGATACCGCGTCAGGTCAATCTGTAGGTTGGGCGGCAGGTCGGGCCAGATGTCCGCGTAGGAGTCGACCACGGGCTCGTATATGACTCGGTGGAGGCAATCGACGCATCTCCGGAACCGGATCTGGGACATCCAGTAGTACAGGAACATGAGGCCGGTCAGGCTGTCCTTGAACGAGTAGGAGTGGGCAAATGCCACCTCCCCGTTGGATGTCAGTAATTCGCCAGCCCAGTAGCTCACAGGTTGCTCCCCGGTCTGGTTATGGGCAAGGCCGAGCCACTCGTCAAATCGGGCCTCGAGGAGAAGGCAGGTGTGCAGGAGATCTTGTGCTTGGTGGCGTCGCGGCAACGTCGGCTGCATCGTCATGATCTGGTCAGTGTGGTGGAGTGTCCCGGATAGGAGCGCAATGAGATCGAGAAGCTGGTCGAAAAGCGGCTTCGGGTAGAGTTCCCACGGAACTGTCTGCCACAAGGGCTCGGATAAGAAAGTTGGTTGTCTTCTTAACAAGGCAGAGCTCAGCTATCGACTCAAGTTAGACTATGCGCTTCTCCTCGTTGTCAACAGTACTTTTCTATGATAGACTTACAACCAGCGGCCGATAGACCCTCACGAAATAATGGTGGTTCGGGAAGGCCTTGAAGTTCTCCGGCCCTGCGCTTTGCACGGGATCCGGATTAGTGTTGTTGAATGTCGGAAACCCCTGGGTCTGGAAGGTATGCTTCTATCAGTATTAGCCAGGCTGGTTTGACCCCCTCAAGCAGCATCACGGAATATCTCACCTCGAATAAGAAGGCGCAGAAATCCCCTCCGTTGGCTTCCTCTCCAGGATAGTGTGTACTTACGAGGCAATGAGCCTGGACGCTGAAATCGTCACATCCCGGAAGTGACGGGAGTTCAGGAGGGGTAGTTGGAACAAAAGACACCTTGAATCTGGCATCATCTCCAGAGTCGTCCTCTTCTCGAATGACACTCTTGAGAGGAGTCTGCAATGCGGTGAATAGCACCTGCGACTCGGTGCCGTTGCTGGAGAGCCCGATGAAGTCGTCCCAAGCCGAAGTCAACGGATAGGTCGGGACAAACGACGCACTGGACCTCCGGCTGCTTTCCTTGCCTATCGGCGTGCGAGACTTGGAACGTCTCTTTGACGTTGATGATGAGGCTGGTGACGAGCCGCTCCCCTTCTTAGGGTGTGACGAAACTCGGCCCTTGTTCTCGGGAGTGCCGGTTATAAACATCATCTCCCTCTCGTAACCTTCGCACTCTCTCCCGCTGGTGATACATTTTGAGCATTTCGGACGCTCGTTGGTACACTAGAAAAAAGAGGCCAAATAGAACCATCAAGTCAGTCTTTGTCAAATCCGGCTAAAATCGATGTTCATGGTTTTGTCCTACCTTTACTCTCCGGCGCCTGCACGTTTCGCAACCCTTGTATTTCCCGGGGACGCCAACCATTATGTCTGCCACTAAACGAATGAATGCTCGGATGGGTGATATACAAATTGTTACTCAGCCAGTGAGGAGGCTCAGTCAGTTGATGAGGCTTGATCCCGTGTGGCAAGTTTCTGTCGTCACAAACTGCACAGAGATATATATACCTACGTGTCCCGGGCAGGTTTCCACAACGGGGGAGGAAAATTAATAATTCAATGTTAGGGTGCATCCAGAAACCGAAGCAATGTCTCGACACATGCCTTCCAGACAACCGTATTGGCCTGATCGGTTTTCGGATTCGCTCAGAAATATCTGATCCTTTTCCCTCAGGGGTGCGGGACATGGAACCTAGGCCAACCCAGATACATGAGAGCTGCCGACGTCGTCGCATAACATCATCATAATTAAGACGAGGGTAGCCAGACGGTGGGAATCGTGGGCTCGAGCGAATCAGCTTACAGAACCCGCCCCGAAGCAACAGTCGTCAACCAGCCTTGTGAATTTAGAGCTCTACGCCGCTTACGTGCTCCTCATACACTACATAATAATACACTTCAGCTCGGACCCGCTGCCTTACTGAGCTGAATGCATGCCATGGCGAGAGTGCGAGAGAACCACGGACTCGGCGGACGCAAGAGAAGGAGTGGAGCTCGTCCCTTCTCCGCTGGCATGGATGACGACGGGCTGTACTGGGAAGCTCGTACAACCTCGTCGGTAGGGCTGACATGGGATGGCCAGCTCGCGCGCTGGTTGGCTGGCCGGGGTGCCTGAGCAAAATACGTCCAAATCTGGGCATATCGAGGTCCCACGCCGCCCCAAGCACCATCGGCCGCCCATTGGTACGCGACCGGGGAGGCCTTTGATGACAGTCGCAGGATGACGGCCAGCGGTGTCGTGGCGGCCGCGGGACGACATACTTATGGGGGCCTCATCCTGACCCTACGCGCAAAAGAGGGGGAACAAGTTGGTGTTCTGCTCTGTTTGACCCACTAGCCGAGACAATGATCCTCGACACTACAGATTGCCATGGAGCGGATGCCGCCCAAAGCTCTCAGGGGGTTCGGCTTCGTTGGTTCCCAATGACATGGCCCGTGGACCGGAGACGCGTACACAAGAGATATAATTAATTGGCATATGCACGAGATAGGGATACAGCACTGCTGGCGGCTTTATTCACCTGCCTCTTCGCATTCCGATCCCCCAGTCAAGGACACATAAATCACACCCACAGGATCGTCGATCAAGGGGCGGGTGGAAGGGATCATGGACGTCTCGCCAACGGGTTTACGCCAGCACCTCATGCATAGAGTGCCATTGTATGACTGCAGGACGGGCCATACGACGCCCGCCAACAAGGTGGTTTCACCGTCAATTCGCTTTTTTATTGATCAATCTAAGTTTGAAGGGATGGCACCTGTCGCAGTGTGGGGGTAGGGAAGGATCACAGATATTTGTAGGGGTTCATGATGCCGTTCTGGTGGTAAAATTCTCTCGTCAGCTTTTGGATGCTTATTCCAGCCTTATGGCCACACCGTCCCGTCCCGGATGTGCCAAAGCAGCCTGTACCTGTATAGGGCTGCAGAAATACGGGGGAGGGAGATAGGGCGGGAATGGGGGGTTCACTCACAGGATCATACAGGTGCTTAATCTGCTTCATCAGGCCGATTGTGGTTTCATCTCGGCTGTAACCAATGTAGTTCTTCTTCGCGAGGCCAAGACCATGCTCAGCGCTTATGCTTCCTTTGCGGCCCGCGACCCACTCGTAGACGTAGGGCTCCAGGACTTTCTCGACTGCCGAATCATAACGTCGGACGGCGACGTTGAGGTGGATGTTGGCATCTCCCATGTGCCCGTAGCCGGAGGTGCCGATCACAGGGTACTCGTCGGTGTCACCAACGAGTCCGGCCTCGAGCAGGCGAGCATGGACGTCGTCGACGATCTGATACATGTCCGCGATAGGGATCGAGACGTCATATTTGTAGGTACCTCCCCAGTGGCCGATGCACTCTGGGACACCCTCGCGCCAGCTCCAGAGGGTCTTCACCTGGGTCTCGTCCTGGGCAACCACGCCATCGGAAATGATCTCCTTGGCCATGACATCCTCCAGGAACTTTTCTAGCTTTGCATAGTCGTGCTCCGCATTGGAGCCACTTGTCTCGATCAGACAGTAGAAGGGGTGGTCATCCTCCAGCGGTTTCTGAACGTCCGGGCGCACCTTGCTAACAAGCTGCTGACTCTGGAGGTCCATCAGCTCAAAAGCCGAGAGGATCTCGGATAGCTGCTTCTTGGCCTCCTTGAACGCCTCCTGCACCTTCTCAAAGGACTCGAGACCAAAGTATGCGACGTTAACGGCCGCAGAGCGCTGGGGGCACTGGATGGACACCTTGGTGATGATGCCGATCGTTCCCTCAGCGCCAATGTGTAGCTGCTTCAGGTCGAAGCCAGTGTTGTTCTTGCGCAGGGTCCCCAGATCATTCAGGATGGTGCCATCAGGGAGCACAGCCTCAAGGCCCAAGACGCTCCCGTGTAAGCTGCCATATCGCAGCAAGCGTAGACCACCAGCGTTTGTGGCGACGTTGCCTCCAATGTGGCACGACCCCTTGGCTCCCAGATCAAGGGGAAAGATGTATCCCTTTGAGGCGAGGAACTGGTCCACAACCTCCAAGATGCAGCCGGCATCTGCCACCAGAGACCCGCTGACCTCATCAAACGAATGGATAGTGTTCATACGTGCCATGCTAATGACGATTTCGTCAAAGACGGGGACAGATCCACCCACGAGACCAGTGTTACCCCCCTGGGGAACAACGGCCAGCTTGTGTTGATTGCAGTACTTGAGGATGCTGCTGACATCCTCGGTGGAGCCGGGCTTGAGCACCAGCCGGCACTGTCCCTTGTACTTGTGAAGCCAATCCTCATTGAACGGCTCAATGTCACCTGCAGCGTCAGCATTGACGCCGTCGATGACCGCAGACGACGACCCAAGCAGCTCCTTGAAGTAGGCGACGTGCTCCTTGGTCACCTCGGCATACTTGGGGTCGCGCTTCAGCGACGGGTACATCTCGGCGGTGCTTTTGGCATGGCGAGCCGTGGCGGCTGAGAAGAACCTGGGGGCTGAAGCCGTGGCTGCGCATCGTCCATAAGCTGCGGAGGGAAGGCCGTTGCTGGTGGTGTTGGTGAGAGTTCGCCCAGCCCGAGCATCCAGCCTCAAGCACCGGCCCGGGACTCGCAGCGCGCGCACTACGTTTGAGCGAGAAGCCATTGCGGAGGGGGGTAATTGCTCAAGCAGTTGGGGGGAACAGAAAAGGTTGAGTCTGTATGTGATAAAGATATAATGGTATATAAATATATACTAGGAGAACAAATGGTCTCCCTTGAACTCCCCCATTTGTCGTGGACGTAAAGGCAAGAGAGAGGCGATTCGGCGGTTAAGCAGGTTTTCCGTCTTTTAGCCTCTTTCCGCGACTTCTTATTGGGCAGCGAGCTTCGTCTTCGGCGGCCACGCAAAATGGCCGAAAGATTCCGAATTCGGGGCCGCGACCTGAGAATTTAATCTTTAAACCGCCCGGCAATCTGCCGGAATCATGTTTCCGTGGGAGAATGCTCAAGCGAAGCCTCACCGAAGGACTCTGCCTCATTTGATATTTCATTTGTTTGCTATTCGACTAAGTAATACCTAACAAGCCTGCTATCTAAGTAATCTGGGAGGGGTTCTGCATTATTGCGAAACCCTCCTCTCCTATGTTTCCTGTGCAACACACCAGGTGATACACCTATTATTAAATACTCCTCAGTTTGTTACAAAAAGAGATTGAAGTAATGAAGGAGGAGACAATTATGGTAAGGAGGAGGCGAAGAAATGATTCCTGCACGCTCTCTCTGCGACTATACTCACCCTTCCTCCCAAAAGAGCAGGAGAGAATCAGCGGCACAAGTAGACCGATCTTCCCCTTCCGACGTCCATCTCATTCCACCTAATGTAATCCGTTTACTTTATTCCCGTTCACTTTGCTCTCCTTCCGCGGGCTCTCGTCCCGGTTTGTCCTATCCTGTAGCACATTGCTTGGTGCTTGTTCCTCCCGTCCGCGCTCGTCGTTGATGAGCTTCTCCATGAACGAAATATAGTCGTATTGGGGCATCCCCCGGTCTTCTGACATGTCGGGCCCCTTATGCTCGGGCATCATGTCCACAAGTTGGTCAATGACCTCGTCGGGAACAAGGCTGTGCCGTAAATCCATCTCCGTCACGTATGGCTTACCGTCAGCCACCTCTCTGAAGGATTGAAACACTTGCTCGGCTGTGTTCTGATCCTCTGTTACATCCACCATGAAGCGAATAAACTGCTCAAAGGTCACGTAATCACGGCCTTCGGACGTCACGTCGAAATATTCATGCATATCCTCCTCTGAAAATACTAGTCCAAGCGATGCCAGCGCGGCGCTGAACTCCAATTCTTGCAGTGAGTTGGTATCGTCGCGGTCGAAATAACGGAAGACGCTCTCGAACTCTTCGAGCTGGATTGGCGTCAAGTTTGTCATGCTTCGTGCCACCATCTGGTTCTCTAAAAATACCAGCTTCTTCTGCACTGATGACTTTACTAATCCGAGCTCATATCCTAGCTCGTCGTATGTATAGGTTGTGAAGTCGTTTTCTTCAATATTTGCCTCTTGGCATTTGATTTCCACGGCCTCGATTGTTTCCAGATACCGGTCCATTGGGGGAAGGTTGTCGCTGAGCTTCTGGACATGGTGTAGTTGATCCTCGACATCACCATCTAGTCCTGAAATCGCCAGTTGCATTGCGTTTAGAGCCATGGCGAAATCGTTCGCTTTGTCGGCGAAGGACCTCCGCAAAGCGTTCTTGATGCTAGAGTATTGTTAGATAGACTGAATATCGTCTCATCACGAGCGAGGGGTGCCATGTCCGACTTACTCTCGAATAGTTTCGTTGATCAGTTGGGCTCGGTGCATTTCCGACTGAGATAAGTTGGCCCAGGCGTGATCCATCGCTTCCAAGCTCAATTCAGCGGGGGGTTCATACGGTCGCAAGCGATAGGTGCCCAGTTTCGTTTTGATATTGCCCAGAAGCGTTGCAAGGTCACTCTTCTCGGCCACCCAGTCTCGTTTTTGTCCCTTTTTATAATCAGCAAATGCTGCCGCTTGGGCCTTGGCGTCGGTGTAGGTGCCCTCGAATTGTGATAGCTGCCATGCTTCAACCTGCTCTGCAGTGGCCTTCAAAAGTGCTCGCATCCGCCTCTCGTACGCGCTCTGCATCTCCCAAGCTCCCTGCATGTTGTTGACAAACTTTTCCACCCGCCGGCCTGCATTTTCGACTTTTTCCATTTGCGAGAAGGCATGGAACCAGTATGCAATGTAAGTCATCAAACTCTTGTCGTCGGGTGCTTCGCATACATCCTCCACGTCCAGCAATTTCGGGATGCCAATCTCCTTCTCAGCGATATCAAATGCCATCTGCATATTTTCTCTGTGTTTCGACTTGTCAAGAGCTTCGTAGTCGATCAGATCGGGGCGGTGGATATCCAGCAAGGCACAGAAGGCAAGGCCATCCTTCCAGCTGTGGCTGAAATCTCGTACCTCGACTCCATCGTAACAAGCAGTCTTCCTTTGACACCACAGCAGCAGACCTTCCTTGGCGGACATGCCCTCTGCGTTGATGTCGCTGATTGTGAACCGTAAGATTATCATCCAGATGAGTCCCAGAATAATCTTTTCCCTGCCGTCTACGACATCTTCGGCACCGATATTGATCAACTGGATGCCCCTCATTTTGATAAAGTCGAGAGCCAGGTTAGCATTCTCGAACTTTTGAACTCGTAGCTTTGGGTTCGACGCATATCGGCCGAGGGTATCGTTCGACAGGCATTCAAGAAGGTGAATTAACATAACCTATCGAAGTCAGTATGATGGCTTGGTATGACATGGCCATCCGGCAATTACTTACTCCATCCGTCAGGTCTCGCGCCAAGTCCTTCACCTCGAGGTCTCGTGCAGCAATTTTCGTATTGAGCCTGGATCTCCGTCAGCCTAGAAAGCCTGGTAGTGGATCGCAAGAGGCTCACCATTTTGTAAATGTCTTTTTCTGGATGGCAACCCATCGTTCTTTCTCCATATTCGCCATACTCATTCCGTTGACTGTGCTGATGGCCCCCGGCATGGGGATCGATTATGATCGTGGTCGCTGGGCTCGCCAGAGGCTAGGTATCTAGCACGAAGACTCTCCAGCTTGTCCGCGAGATCGCTGAAAGGCAATCCTGCGGTGCTCGTTGACCGCCGCTGTCAAATACCATGCGGCGACTCCTCTCGCCAGATGCGTGGTAGTGGGGTTCAAGGGATAGAGCGCCCAGGGTTCTTGTCGGCAGTGGAGTAGCGCTGGGGTTCAGAGCTGGCAGATAAAGACGATATGGGATGCAAGTGAATACCACGAGAACAGAATGTATGTATGAGGCAGCGCAGAGAAAGGGGAATCTTGGGGAGGATGAAAGGGATGGTGGGAATTGGCTAGTAAATGATCTCTGGTGATGGACGTCCAGCAGCTGCCGTCAATGAGGTGGTTGGTCTGTTGGCTCATCTAAGGTCAGGTACTAATCGAGGCATGCCGTCCACTCGCATGGCTGCAGGTATAGTAAACAATTTGCCGGAAACCACTCTCGGTTGGCCGGGCGGCCGTCCAATCCCCTGAAGAAGCGCCTCCCAGTGGTCGGAGCCGAATTTAGCGGCTGGTATTTGGTGGCTAGCTGCCTTATGGTGTCCATGGTGGGCCCACATTGGGGTTCGTTGGTCGCCCAACTCGACTGACGGCTGCAACCCCCGGTACATGCGGTCTGGTGAACCGCTTTCCCAACCTCCCGCTGTACAATAATGCAATGCAGGATCCAGTGCGACCAATGTGGACTGATAAGCAGCACCGATAAGTAGCCAACGTCTCAAGTGCTGCATCTGAATCCAAACGTCACACAACAACCGATTCCACTCGAACGTCTGAAACGTCGCCGGTTTTGAAGTCAATCCTATTCCTTCTCGTTTCCAGCCACTACGAAAGTCAATCTCCGCTAACTCAAGTATTGCGTCGTAAGCATAATTTAGCCGTTAGATTGGTGTAGTAGTCGTACCCCTCCTCCCTATCATAATTCATAACCTCTTCACCTGCCTAGAGCATACATCATATCTCCTTTGGTATAATTGCAACATCCCGGTATGTATCAATTAGTGCACATGCGAATACCTAGGCACTACGGACCAACGTCCTCACAAGCAAGCCCCGCATTTCCACACTGCTCGTATCACAGACCTATACAGCACCAATAAGTAATGCATGGCCTGTTTCGACTCTGCCTGTGATCCAATGCACCATGAAACTGCCTTTTTTATGCACCATGAAACTGCCTTTCGCATGAGCCGCTAGTTTTGAATAAAATAAGATTCGTTGTGCGATGCTTTTGTCCAATAGTGAAACAGATATCATACACGCAAGGGCCCGTCCAGCCCGAGCACTCTTTACTTCTTCCTCTGCTGGTGGCCGGCCCTCGCCTTCTCCCTGGAGCGCAGCGCGTAACGCTCCCTCTTCCAGGCGAACACGAGCTGGTCCACGCTGCCCATGTCGTGCTTGGGTTTCCGCATGTACGTGAGCCTGGCCCTCCTTGCCCTCTTCGGACGACGCCAGATGACATCGATCGCCGTCACCGACGGGCTGTAAATCTTGAACCACATCTCCACGCCAGTCTTCATCAGCTGCCCGCGTAGCTGGATCGCCGTGTCTACGCCCCGTCGTCGGATCTGGATAAAGGCGCCAGCAAACGGCTCTCCCTGCTTTGTCGTGACCATCAGGACATCGCCCACCTTGGCGCTGTCTGCGTGCTCCTTGGAGAACATTCGTGTTCGTGCACCGGTGGGATCGAGCTTCTCGACCTGCGCTTTGCGGAGGGCGGGCATTGGATTGGGGACGGTGGCCCGGACTGAGGGAACTGGTGGGTAGACTTGGAACTGGCTGACTCGCTTGATATCCTCCCCTGTAACAGCGGCGTTAGAAAAATCGATTCCTCATGGTAGAAATTTCAAATAGCATGGAGCGGCAGTGGCCTCGTACGTTGGTTTCTGTTGAAAGCACCATTGAATGCGCTTTGGGGTAGAGCAGCGGTCGCGATCGATCGCTGAGCGGTCCTTTGTAGCCGGGTAGCTCGCAGGGCCGCCTTGAGGCAGCCCAACGGCCGTCCCACGCTGATGGGCTTCATCGTGGCTGAAGTGTGGTGTTGTCAATGACGAGAAAGGCGGCAGCTACTTGTGAGACTTGGCAGGTGTGAATTCCTATCAGAATTTCCTAGGAAGTCTGACGTGGGGCCAATTGCCTCGTATGATTGGCCCGGCTGATCTATTCCCCGATTATCATTCGCTCGCGTGGTTCAGCTTGGGAACTTTTTGGACGACACCAGATTCGAGGCCGACAAGCGCACCGTCTGATTCATCCTGAGGCGCTGCTCGACAAAATGTACAACCGGACGGCGAGAACGACCTTGCAGGGCCTCGGTAGGCTCAGTCGATCCACACCGACTGGTTCGGCTTGGACTGGAAGATGCTTTAGCACCACTCCTCTCTACGGTATGCCAAATTTTGCCAGAGAGCTATCTCCTCCCCCACGACTACGAGACTAATTGAGTGAAACAAGGTGTGCCAGTTCTCTTCCGGGAGACAGGCAATGAAAAATTGGACAAAATCCTCAGTGAAATCCAAGAAAAGATCATCCTCCCAGCTCGGCTACCCCCTAAGAAGCGATCCGTCGTCTTCGACCCCAATAAGCGCTCCTACCTCGAGCAGAACCCGATTGTCATCGAGGTGGAGGGGCTGGAACACAACTTCACAACAATCGACAAGCACCATGGTATCCCTAAAACCGGCACCATCTTCTTCGCCGCCCTGGATGAAATGGAAACCGCACGCGACTGGCGAAACCTAGCCACGATGCTCGCCGGCTTTAAGAGTGCCAACATCAAGCTCGGAGCTCGGTTTCACGGCAAGATTGCCCGGATAGCGACGAGAAAGGGCTTCGCAAACATCCTCATCGAGTGCGCCAACGAGGCGGACAAGACTGGCTTCTATATCCGCAACAAGGAGCTCCTGAACCACATCCTCACCGACATCACCACCAAAGTCACTGCTGCTGGAGGCGACTGGGAGCAAATTCAGAAACTCGTGAGGAATGCTGACAACCTTTTGGATATTCTTCAGCGTCCTTCACACCGAGAGGACGTTCGCAACGTTCGCGACAGATTATCCTACTCATTGACTGCCCGTGGTCAAATTCTCCTGGCCCGGTCCGCTCTTGTCAAGGCGAAACACGAGGCTGGAGAGCCGGTTGCGAAGGAACTTGACCTCCTCCTGGAGGACGTCAAAGCATTCATCTCGCTGTGGGAACCTCTCCTGGAACAACAGGTCGCGGATATTCCCGAATTTGCTGAATTGTTACCCCGCACAGGGAAGACAAGCAAAAAGACACCTCCTAGATTGGCCCCAACTCCCTACGTCGTGTCGCTCGCACGGAACGTAAAGGGAATCCGGGCAGCTCACCACACAGCCAAGCAGCACCCAGAATTCAAGTCTATCGATGAGAAGCTTGACTCGGTACTGCTCCCTGTTGCAAATGCCATTGAGTCACATGTCGCCGGGTTTATTAGTACCTTACCTAAGCGCTCTGATGAACTAGCAGAAGTATACAAGGCCGTGGTTGGTAATGAACCAAAGAACGCTTCATGAACAGAAAAGGTGCGGACTTGGCAGTTGTAATTCACGCGTGGATATTTAGGAGGAAGTCGCCAAAAAAGGGTGTTGCAAATATTTTATTTTGCTGTATGAACGTGTAAGATATAGACCTTTTTTTGTTGTACAATAACCAAGCTCTACGCAACCGCTACAAAAATTCTTTTATATTTTATGATACCTCATGGCAAGACAATGTACTTCTCCAAGTGCTTGGGGATGGCGCCCAGAAGCTTCTTCTCAGTGAGCCACTTGCGGGAGAACAGCCTGTCGGCGTACCTGTACGCGCCGTCGCAGAGCATCGTGACGACGGTGTGGCCCTTGCCCAGCTTCTCGGCCACCTCCTTGGCCGCCACCACGTTGAGCGACGAGCTGGCCCCCAGGTACAGGCCCTCCTCGTCCAGGCACCGGTACACCATCTCGATGCTCTTCTCGTCCGCGATCGTCAGGGACCCGTCCACAAGATCAATGTCCGGCTGCAGGTTGTCCGTGATGCGGCCCTGGCCGATGCCCTCCGTGATGCTAGACCCGGATCGCTCGACGAGCTTGCCGCCCGAGCTCACGTACGAGTGCAGAACGCTGCCGGGAGGGTCCGCGAGGAAGCTCTTGACCCGCCCGCCGGAGACCTCCTTCAGATACCTCGTAACGCCGGCAAACGTGCCCGCAGTCCCCGTAGCGCACGTGAAAGCATCAACCTTCCCCCCCGTCTGCGTCCAGATCTCCGGCCCCGTCGTCTCGATGTGCGCCCGCCGGTTCGCCGTGTTGTCGAACTGGTTCGTCCACACCGCGTTCTCCAGCCTCTCGGCGTGGCGCTTCGCCTGGTGGTTGTAGTTCTCCGGGTTGTCGAACGCCACCGCGGGCACGGGGTACACCTCGGCGCCCAGCAGGCGCAGCAGGTCGATCTTGCCCTGCGACTGCGTGTTGGGCATGTAAATGACGAGCTTGTAACCCCGCGAGCGGCACACGTGCGCCAGCCCGATGCCCGTGTTGCCCGCCGTGCCCTCGACGACGGTGCCTCCCGGACGCAGCAGGCCGCGCTCCTCGGCGTCCTTGACGACGTAGAGCGCCGCGCGGTCCTTGACCGAGCCGCCGGGGTTCATGAACTCGGCCTTGCCCAGCACCTCGCAGCCGGTCTCCTCGGAGAGCTTGTTGAGCCGGATCAGGGGGGTGTTTCCGATGGCTGGCAGCAAAAGCATAGGTTAACTCTCTGGAACAGTGGTTCAATTGGAAGCTGACAAACCTCCGGTGAGTCCCTTGGCGATTCCTTGAGCCGCCGAGACCTTGAGAGTGTAGGCGCTGGGCTCAGCAGCCTTAGCAGCTGCCACTGCTAGCCGTCGCGCGGTGGTGCGTAACATGGCGAATTGGGCGGGCTGGGTGTTCTTGGGTTGTTAGGTTGAAGATCCAAGACACCTGGTTCGGATGCTCATAAAGAATCCTCGGGGAACGTTCGGCTTTGTCATCGCCCGCACAGCATGAGGCGAGCAGAATCTCAGCTTGGAGGACGGCGGGAGCAATTCATGGTGGGGCCGAGCACCGCAATCACGTCAACTGCCGAGGATCCGATGTTCGGCGCCGAACAGACTTACCAAGACGCCGTCTAAGTTCAATCGAGTCCACGCAACTGGTATTTGAAGAGATATCATGTAGAAGCTTGTCTTAAATCATAAGTTTACTTTTCATATCGTACGTAGATCATCATCAGTACCCAGCCGGGCCCTGGAACTCTAGCGCTTAGCCAAAACAGCCCTATAGGTCGATATCAATATGCAAAAAAACACATTCCAGTCCGTCAATCTGACCATTTCTCTCGTTCCTCCCAGGAATAGTCCATCGGTTGCCGCGTTGGCTACCGGTGGTGCGCTCGGCGTCAATTTTCTTGGTGTAGCCGGACGTACGGCGCTGGGAATACACCTTTGGCTCCCATATATGTTCCAAAAAACCAGTCCCCATTCATATCCTCTACTTCCTTTATTTCAGCTCCACGAGGAAACATCAACTCGTCGTCATTCCCGGAGGCTGGATACCATGCCCACTTTGCGGTCGCGCGAGCGCCCACGCCACCATCTGGTGGGAAGGTCTGTGTGAATGTCACTCCACCATCACTTGAAGGCGCCGCGTGCTTCACATTCTTGGATACAAGGCGCTCCCGTTTCTGATCACCCCATGGCCATGACCACTTGACCAGCTCCAGACCACGCTTGTCGACACTGGTGTATGGTTCCGATCCAAGGGCCCGGCCACCGACAAGATCATGATCCACGTAGCGCCAGAGTCCGATCTTGCCTTCAGTGAAACCAATCACAACCATCCGATGGCCATTAAGACATCGCCTCCATCCTGAATGACCATTCTCGGGACTAATCTCACCATGCTGAACCAAATTATCATAACAAGAGGTGCAGATGTCATAGTCTCCAGGCGTCGCGTCGGCAATCAGAGCGCTCTTGCAGCTGTAACAGTGGTATCGGGTTTGCGTTAGCCCTATTGGATCTTGGCAAATATCACATCTCGTCGCAAAGGTGAGCGGCTTGAAGTCTCCGACGCTGGATCCCGAAGGTCCAGTAAGGATGCTTGCCGTGGCTGGCGGACCGGGGGAGCGGGGACTCTTTGGGCGGTCTTGTGACGATGACACTTCGTTGGTCAATGGCAACAGCATATGCGAACATGACTTGCCCTGGTTGACGCAGTTGTTGCAAAAGCCCCAGTCATTTTCGTTGCACTGTTCACAACGCCAGAAGCACTCATTCGCCCAAGCAGAGCAGCGGGCACAGAACATTCCAATCTCAAGTCTGTTCTTTGGGTCGTACGCTGTGAGCGTCTTCCGGCCATCAGCGCCACCCGGTTGGTGTTGAGGAGGGATGTATCGATGGGCAGTCAACACGTGGGGCGGCGACATTGCTTGTGGGCTATCACTACGATTGCGGATCTTCTCCCATTTGACCCAGGCTGCATATCCAAATCCAAACCAATGCTTGCAACCTAATGATGCTCTGTAGCAGGTAAGGCAAATATTCCATTGCCCGTTTGCGCAAATGTGGCAGTTGTAATGAACTTCATACTCAATATGCGTCTTGCCGCACCTGGCACACGTAATTGATGGTTCTGGATAAAGTTGGGATCTCTTCCGTTGATGTCCAGCGCTGACAGGGCTGAGAATTGGACTGGTGCTAATAGGGCCCGATGCCGACGAGTGCATAACAGGAAGCTCGGCCGGGGGGTTTGCTCTTTGCCTATTAGTCTGTGTTGGCTGTTGTGAAGTCTCCGGGGGCGTAGTGGAGCGGCCTGGTGTGGGATTAGAATTCGCTTGTGTTGCTCTGTTTGCGAACGACTGGAGGTTTGGTGCACTGGAAGCTGGAAGATTTGTTGGGGAAGTGTTGGTGACTGGGGAGCTCGAACTTCTCCCGGAGCTGGTTGCTGGCCTGGCACGTCCGGCAGCATCTACGGAGCCGGGTGGCAGTGTCAGGTCCGTCTGGGACCGTGCTGCTGGTCTACTTGAGTCCGATGTGGGAGGGGTCGAAAATGCGGGCACAGTTGGAACTGTGGTTGAGCGGCCATTGCTACTGGCACGGCGTCTCCCAGTGCTTGATGAGTCTCTGGCATCTAGATTGGCGGTCCAAGCCGTAGGCGGCCTTCGCCTGTCTTCTGAGTGTCCACTGGCGCTTGCGGACCGCGTTTGGCGATTGGGGCGGCTACTACCTTGTCGGCCTCCGTTACTTGCTGAAGTTGGTCCTCTGTCCCCTTGGCTGCTTTCCGTAGGTCGAGTCGAACTCGAGTGGCCGCTATTGCTGTTGCTCGACCGACCGTTGCTTCTGGAGGAGGTCTCGTTTCGGGTCCGCCCCCTTTGTCGTCGACGATATGCTTCTGTGATCCGGCGGCTAAGCTCATCATCTCGGGATAGATCGATATTATCGAGATCAAGCCCATTGAGAAGTCCTTCCTCCTGGATCTGCCGCGCAAACTCTTCAATCTCCTTCTCAATATCCCGATCATTCATGTCCGCAGAACTGATCAAAGAGCGCAAGGAGGACTGATGCCCTATCTGGGGGCGGGCCGCACGTTCCTGGTCGGCCTGGCGCTGCCGTGATTCACTACGCCTCCTCCGCCTCGGCTCTCCGTCAGGAGCCAACTGATCAGAATTCTGCCGGCGGGGTTCATCCCGTCTATGTCGATGCCCCCCTTCTCTTGTGCGACGCTGACGTGTATCTGACGCCGTATCTCCGCTCGACCTGGACCTGCTGTCCCTCCGGTGCTGAGGCCTGGATGACTGGGGTGGTGCACCGCCAGTCTCGCGCAGGCTGATCTCTCTGACACTGTCGACCAGCCTCCTGTCTTCCTCGTCGGCTCGCCTCTCCTCGGCGGTCCGCTCCCGGCGTTTGATTTTTGGTATCACTTGGTCCCCGGGCTTGTACTTGCTCGCCATATCCTCCTTATCGGCATCGGTGCGGGCTTTCTCCGGGTGCGCCGAGATCAACATGTCGAGGAGCGTCACGAATGTGGCGCTGTGCCTCGTATCTCTCACCGGCGCCCGGCATGAGGGGCAAGTGAATGGAGCAGCATCGGACGGCGGCGGGTTGGGGGCATTTTCGATTTTCGCAGCTTGGAAGCTGAACCATTCCTTCAGGCATGAGCCGCAGAATGTGTGCAGGCAGTCGAGCAGAGTGAGCGGCTGGTAGAGCAGCTCAGTGCAGATCTGGGGTTGGGAGCAAAAGGCGGGAAGTTAGCAGGTGCCATGCGAACAGATGGGCTGGGATGGAAGACGGCGGTCGGTCACTTACAGAACAGGTCAGCTCCCTCTCGAGCTCAAGGCCGGACTTTGGGGACTCCATTCATGATAATCCTGTTTGCGCAGCGCCCTATCCCGGTGTTCTGAGGCAGATGAACAAAGCAAAGCTGGCCTGCGAAGTCAAACACCACCGGGCTTGCTGCAGGTAGGTTTCCTAGGGCAGCTTCCGGGGTCTGACCCAGGCCACTGCAACTTACCTTAGTAGAAGCTGGAATAATTGATTGGCGGGGCATCCACGCAAAGCGGGCGGTTGGGGTTGGTGCCAAGGCAGTGGAGGCCAGGTGGGCGGTCACCATCAAAGATGATCACACACCTGCTGCCCGCGTGGACCAGATGGCCACTGTGGCTGTCCACACATCATCTTACCTTGCGTATGCATGCAGCTCCAGCGCATGGCTTAGTAATGGTGAATGGGCAGTTCAGCACCAGCATCGCACATCATGCAGTTTGCTGTCGCAGCTGCTTGACGGTGAGGTCATACGGGCGGAGCTGCCTTTTCACTGAGCAGCTCTGGTCGGTGGCTTGCGTGGGACTGTCGGGCACCTAATGGACATTCATAGCGGAGAATGCAGTCATCAGGGCCATCTACGCCCCAATTAACTTCACGGCCATTGCTATTAGAGTCACTCCAACCACTCAATCCACCAAGGAGGCTGTTGGCGCGATCCAGTGGCTATCGCACATTATTAGGTCGGAGGTTAGAGCCTATTGACGAAGTTTCCCGGCAATCGCCCGAAGTCTTTTCATCCCACCAAGTTAGAGGATATTTTGGATGATGGGTTCACCGTGATCGCGCGGCTCGGGTAGCCCCTTGTCTTGCCGCTATTTAAGCTTTTCATGTACTGCCTACTTCAAACCTTGGATTGCCTGCACGCAGAATGCCATCTCATTCACACGGGTATCATCTTCTTGCCTCCGCTGGCCCTTCCCTTGGTAGATTTGTTGTTTCAAGATATCAAAATGATCACATCATGGTCAAGCTAGAGAATGAGGATGTTCTTGAAGAACATGTCCCGTAGCACTCGAACCGCCCACACCCAAAGCATGTAACAGATGGTAGAGAAGTATCCCTTTCGTAGAGTGATTTTGGGTCATTGTAGGGTTCTCAGTTATCACTGAAGCTGACTTATCCAGATATGAAACTTGTTGGAGGATATGAGCTTGTTCAACCATCCAGCCGACCACAATAATCAATACGATGCCCACATCCATCTGGCTCAAATAGTTTCGCTTCTTGGAAACCCTCCATGCTCAGTTATACAAAAGAAGAGGATGTGCTGTGAGTATAGATTGAAAGCGCCTATCATCGACAGGGATGGCCAAGAGTGCTTCAATATGAATACATGCTGGGACGGCCCCTTCAAGTGGTGAATCAAACCCGCGGAGAGTCCAGTCTTGTTCTGTTCTTTGTAGGGATGAAGCTAATAGGGAAGCGTGGATTCCCCCAGGTCAAAAAATTCGTCAGACTTAATCGAGGACGACAAAACCCAAACGGATACCGCCACAAAGATCTGTGGTCAAGACGAAGAACAACTTCTTGATCTAGCATCTCACATGCCCCATGCCAGAGAGGTGAAAAACAGCCAAGTAGCTATTGATTCATCCTTTCTTCTGTTCTTTCTATGGGGGTCTTAAATGAGGCTGGCAGCTTCCCATTTGACCTACGGAATATGTAGACGGCTAACCATATGTTTGACGAGTCTCGCATAAACAAGCCCGTTCGCCCAATTTGTTAAAATAATCAAGCTTCGTAGTGGTTTCCAAATGTCGTTTTTAGGTAAGAATATCACAAGTATACTCCATCTAAGTTAAACACGATCATGGCTTTTTGATATGCGTGTCGAATTCGGCGTGTAGTAGGCTAGTTTTTGCGCTCACAACCTTGAAAAACCTTGGTGAGTTCGTCAGGAGATACACCCAACATGCAAGACACAAGCTCTCGGCATGTCACGCAGCATTTCGCTGTCGCACATCAAGCAGGGAGCCGTTCCAGGCCAAATAGCCACCATTTCATGCGCCCGTGAAACGGGCTGTGGACCAACCAAGCTGCATATCGTTCCACAGAAGCCCCGACGTCACCTACACCTATACGCGCCTACAGCCAGATTGTCATGTATAAGGCAACTATAACATTCTCACGCATTAATTGGGAAAATGGCGCGTAAGTGAATGAGGGGCCGGGTACGTTTCCTCGTATGTCGTGAACCATGGTTTGTTTGTTAATATCTCGTAATAAAAGTACACCTAAGAGTGCGTCCACTCGGCCTTCTTCTTCTCCGCAAACGCCTTCATGCCGATCTTCTGATCCTGGCTGCCAAAGACGCTGTGGAACACACGCCTCTCGTACTCGACACCATCCCGGAGGGCCAGGTCCTGGCTCTTGTTGACCACCTCCTTGCAAGCCTGGACAGCCACCTGAGAGTACCCAGCAATGGTCTCGGCCGTCTTGAGCGTCTCCTCCATCAGCGCCTCGTACGTAGGGAACACCCGCGCCGCGATCCCCCACTTCTCAGCCTCAACACCGGAGAAGGACTTTCCGGTAAGGATCAGCTCCATGGCCTTGGCCTTGCCAATGGCCCGGGTGAGTCGCTGGCTACCACCGGCACCGGGGAGAGTGCCCAGCTTGATCTCCGGCTGACCAAAGTTTGCGTTCTCGGTGCAGTAGATCAGGTCGCACATCATGGCGAGCTCGCACCCGCCACCAAGAGCATGGCCCGAGACGGCGGCGATGATGGGCTTCTTGACCTGGGTGGTGAGTGATGACCAGCTCTCAATGAAGGACTTGGTGTAGGCTTCAGCAAATGTGAGTGGCGCCATCTCCTTGATATCGGCACCGGCTGCGAAGGCCTTCTGGGAGCCGGTGAGGATGATGACCGAGGTGTCACTCGACGCATTGAGATCTGCAAGTGCCTCGTTCAACTCATTAATGAGTGGCGTGCAGAGCGCATTAAGAGCCTTGGGTCGGTTTAGTGTGACTGCATGATTATGGTAAGAAAACAATGTTGCATCAAGGTGGGTGTTTGGGAGGGCTTGTGTGAGCTACCTTGACCAACTCCTGGCTTTGGCTGGGAAATCTGGATGAACTCATAACTCTTGGAGCTGTAGGCGCGTGCCATTATAGGAAGAGTAGACCTTTGGAATGGGACTCGGAGGGCAATTGGCCTCAAACATCGCAGAGAGTTCATCATGATGGGAAATGGGCAGATATAGACACGTGAAGGGACAAGGGAGGGGAAGGGAGAGACGAGAGAGTAGAATTTATCGAATTGCGGAGCAAAGGGAGAAACGATTGGGCCAAGCGTTTACGAGCACGTTTTGGTAACCAAAACTTGAGTTTAAACCGACCGAAGAAGCTCACCTCAGTGACGCAACAACTGGCAATCATCGGCTTTAGACCGAGGGTAATGACTTCCATCCAGCCTGACTCTCTTGGCCTGATTGGCCGGGTAGAGCGGTTAATGCGGGGCCCCGCCTAAACCTTTGGAAGTCTGGCAGAGGCTCTAAAGCATCTGTCATTCTACCGGCCCGTCGAGATGGAATCACTACTAACGCGCGCGTCGTTCTAAATGGAAGACCGGGTCTTCTTACCTGTGTATTTCTTAGTGAAATTGTGTCCTTGATCACAAGCCACCCGCCCCAATGAAGACAGGCCTGTTTCTTAGGGCAAGAGATAGGCAAAGAATGGTCGCATTGTTCATTGTAACCACTTTTCTGGGACATCCGTCGTTCAGTGGTCACGCACAACTTGAGCCTCTCATCAAGGGGCATCTTGTCCTCGGACGCTGTACCCTGTCTCAGGGCACCTTTATGCGCAAACATGCAGAGTGTGGCTGAGCTCTCAACAGTGGGCGCTCATTTCGGTGGGGCTCGAGCTGCTCAGGGGGGCAGTGAGATCCAGTAAATTGGTCCTGTCCACTCGAATATCAGCGATAAGCTCTACGTGGCTTAACAGAAAATCGTGGCTGCCTCATCGCAAAAAGGGATTCCCTCACTATCCGTCCACTTCCACCTCCCTGCAACGCAACTTATCGCGGCGACTTCTTCTTATACTCGCTTCTTAATCTCTCATATCTCATTCTTTTACATATTTTACTCTTCTTCTTCGCCAAATTAATCATGGACGGAAAGGAGCCCGAGCAGACCCCTTTCGAGGCTGTCTCTGCGCACAGCTCCCGCATTCAGCAGGTGTGTTTTTCGGTCGCGAGCGCCTCATCAGCCAGCGTACTAACGGATGCCGTTTAGCGATTCCAAGCAATCCTGGATCAGTCCACCCCATTCGTCGCCTACCGATGGGCCTCCACTGGCTTTTTGCTGATCATCTTCGCCGCCCGCATCCTCGTCGCGCAGGGCTGGTACATCAGTGCGTCGAACCTCCCATTCTATCCGCAGCCGACCTGAGATTGAGCGCAGAGAACTAACTGCTACTATACAGTCGCCTACGCCCTTGCCATCTATCTCCTCAACTTGTTCCTGGCATTCCTGTCGCCCAAGATTGACCCCTCGAACGATGCGATCGATAATGAGATGGAGGATGGCTCCGTGGGAACTCTCCCCACCAGGCAGGATGAGGAGTTCAGGCCATTCATCCGCCGCCTTCCCGAGTTTCAATTCTGGTACTGGGCCACTCGCGCCATTTTCTTCAGCTTCGTCGCCGCCTGGATCCCCTTCTTCGACATCCCCGTGTTCTGGCCTGTCCTGGTCACCTACTGGATGGTCCTCTTCTTCCTTACTAGTATGTTACCCCTTAGCAGGTTCGTAGGCCTTGGCAATAGAATGCTAACTCGTCATGCAGTGCGTCAGCAAATCCAGCACATGATCAAGTACCGCTATGTCCCCTTCTCCTTCGGCAAGAAGAAATACTCCAAGAACAGCTCGTAGTGCAGCCACTGGGTTTGAAGAATATGGTGTCTTGCGATTGGGTAGCCTCGAGGCCTTGAAGAATAGGCTGCGCGGCATGTAACAGTACTACCGACCACACCTACCGGTGTTGCATGGCTGGGATCTTGGGATTGGGTATTATTTCTTTCCATTCATGAAATCGAATTATTAGGAGGAAGCAAATAACACCGTCTGGATGGGTAACGACGATGTGTATCAACTATAGATGAGTGAGACTCGCGGAGATGGCGTGTTGGAAAAGCGAATTTCACACGATAGCCAGCCTCATAATGATAACCCATATTATTCGAAAAGACTTCCTTGGACGGTTTCCAAATGTCTCGCAAAAGTGCTCACTTTCGCATCTATCGGCTACTAATTGCAACAGGTGGGTTGTGTGGGGAGAATCCCCTCCTTGGCTATAAGATGCCACTGAGATTAATAGGGCATCGCAAATCCTCCTACCACATGTCTCCCTCTATGCCGCGCCCTATAAATCAAACACTGGTTGTTGCAACCATCGACAACAAATTCATCCAGGAAGAGGGTTAGGTGACTAATGGAGAAATGGTTGGGCCCTGTGTATCCCACTCTACCAACCACGAGAACACACCCATCATACCTAGTGGGCGGTTTGTCAGTTTTGCCATTTCGGAACAAATCCACGGATTTGTTGTTTGGGTGATCTTGTGCTCCCGGGAAATACAAACACCTCGGCCAAGATTAACGTCAGGTTATTGAAGGCACTGCTTGAGTCAGCACCAGGGCCAACTCCTTTTCCCCGCCAACGACAGCAAATGAAAAGACACATTCGATTCATATAGAGATGTTTGCTCAGATTGGGTTGGGAAATCAAGTTTCCTTCTAAGTGGAAGTCTTAACGTCTTGAATCATTCTGCTTTAACATATCAGATCGTGTCATTGCTGGAGATGGCCACAATCTCAGTTCTGCCCTCTAATACTCTTGCTAATTCTCGGGAGCAATCGCTCGTTTCTACTACATGAAAAGCGAGGATTTACTAGTGGGTTAACGTAAAGGAGGCAACATGGTCCGTTTACTGGCAGTGTTGCCTGAAACATAAGGTACCGAGCGTCATGTAGCAACAACACACAGCACCTTCCCTAGGTAGGTACGTGCCCAAAGCACTCTCTCTCACCTTCTCATCACTTATCATCATCGCCAAATCTCAAGGCTTTTTTATTTCTCGGCTTTGCAACGTATTATTCCGGTTCAGGACTACGCAATCGCAAACTCGTCCAGCATGGACGATCACTCTAGATGGAAAGAAACAGAAGAGATTTACTCCATTCTCTTGACGCGTGGAGAAGACATTGAGTGGCGTACATCGCTGGAAAGCCTCCACTTCCAGAATCTATACCTCGAGAAGGGGTTTTCTTTGCCTCTTCAAGAGATTAATGCAATTCGACAATTGACCATAGTGCGAGTGCTGAATTCTCTGGTGAAAAATGGGGAGAACTTTTTGTCTTTTTATTCGTTTACGGAGAGAACGAACAGAGATGTTTGGAGAAGAATTGGTTAGTAAGAAAGAGCCATTTCATTTTGGTCCTAATACTACTGCACCGTCTTTTTATGTTTCAACTACTCATTGCTTTAACAACATCCCAGTCAATGGGTATGGCACACGCCTCCCAGCACATCGCGGCTACCCCTGGCGGCCACGACAGCACAGCGACTCAGATCCACGAGAGCTTCTATGTTCCCTATGGAGAGTATGGCGAGGCCTCACGGTAGACCATGAGAACCAGCATGCTGAAACCAGGCTTCTGGATGAATCTACCCACGAACCCACACAACGTGCCAGACTGGCAGCTGCAATGACGCCTGTTGAAGAAATCAATGGCGTTTGATTTATATCTGAATACGAATCATTTCCGGACACCCCTTACGATTTCAAAATAGCCTCAGCTGTTGCTTCTCCTTTCGACATGTCCGAACCAGACATCAACAGTGTGCTCATGACTTTGCAGAGTCCCTTACCTGCTGTCCGAGATGATCGAGATGACGAAATCTCTGTTGAGGATTTTGGAACGGTTTGTAATTTTTTAAGTCTTTTCCGGTGTATTTTTTATGTGAGAACGCTTCAAGTTGGGCTTAATCGTGCTTCGTCAGAGTATCATCGACTGGGAGACTGGAAACAGATTGTTCGACCAGCCTTGACAGAGAGAGATTTCCTCCTCATTCCCCAAGATGATGTTCAGGTATGGTCTATGAAAATTGACGGCTTTGGAAGTATGGAGTCGATGATGAACTCGGATTTTATGGCAGCATTCTGGGCTCGTGAGGAGTTCCGTCTTTGCGATTCTGTGCTAGTACAGGACCCGGACACACTTTTGTTTCGCCGCGACTTGGAATTAGAAATACAATGCAATGCCCCTCTTCTGGACTGGGATGCATCAGAGGGGCCTCTTCAAATTGTTATCAACACGCGCTTCAACATACCCGAAGAAAGCCTTCGGGAATCCAAAGTACTTGTCAGCTCCGCTCGACCAGCTTTCCTTAGGCTGCTTGCCAAGATGGAAGGTAAACAGGATATACCATCACAATTCCGCCTTTCTACCGGCCTTGTTGATCTTTCGCAAGGTGTCTTGCCTACTGGCGGATCACAGGCATTGTACCACTTGGTAGCAGAAATTCCTCAATACAAGGATGGACGGTGGGGCAAGATCAGAACTAGACTCGACCCCGATTTCGATTTCTTCTATCATCGTGATTCTTCAACGTTGAGCATACTGATTTATGCTTCTTTTGACGCAGGGTCTATGCCATACCTCAGCCAACGAAGAAATTCTGCCGTGCCTGAGCAGAAGGAGTCCTCGGACACCATTGGCCAAAGCTCGGGGCCAAGCGTCTTTGGGTCTGCTACACCTACTTCCTCCGCCTTTCCCATCACACCGAATCCATCGGTTGCTGCACCATTGAAACAAGAGGTGGTGCCTCAACCAGCTGTGAAAGCTTCAGCTAAAAGAGGTAATGTTCGGGCACCAGAATACCCAAACAAGAATCAGAAAGGGGGGAACGGATGGCAAGGAGGTCGCCGTCGGCGTGGATAACAATATCAAGCTTCCTACTGCGTTGTAAATTGGAATCTCAATCACAACGTCTGCAGGGAATCTTGTTCATGATTTAAGATCTGACTTGAAGGGATAAATTTGTATGCAAGAGGCAGTAGGGGCATGCCGCCATCCATGGCGACTGGGTATTTTCACGGAGCTGACTTATTAGTTGACTGTTGTCAGAGTGGTCCGTCGGCGTATCTGCATGCGGCGGGGTACAATGTGCCGAATAATAAACTTTAGTGCTCACTCCCAACCATTGTTCCAACCGTAAATCCTGCAGGTACTAAACCCAAGTACCTAACGTACCTCTTTACCTTACCTACCTACCTATACCTACTCACTGACCTATGTACTATTTTTAGCAGCCTCTGTTCAGCTGCTACCCTCTAGTCATAAATTCTTCAAATACCGCCGATTTGCTCCCTCCTCTTTTCTGCAGGCGCCTATGCTCTTTTCTTAAAAGGCAAATAATAATTCACCAAATACAAACACTATGGCGGGATTTTCCGATGCGCCAGCTGAAGTCATCGACAATATCGTAAGGTTCGTCATACGAAGAGCCGATCTTGCGAACCTATGCCTCGTCAACAAGGCACTCCACCGGTCTGCAGTGGCTTTTCTTTATTCCAGTATTAAGATAACATGGGACCAAGAGCATCCAAACCCCTCGATCAGTCCTCTGATCCGTACTCTTGCTCAGAGTCCAGAGTTGGTTATCCTCATAGATGAGATTTACCTATTTGGAGAATACTTGTCAGATACTGCAGAGCGCCCATCCTTGAATACGACTGGCATTCCACTTGATCAATTCATTAATATTATCAATAAGAGCCAGGTGCCATACGCCAACACTTGGGTCGATGGTCTGAAGTCGGGCAACATGGATGCATTTGCTGGTCTCCTGATTGCCAATCTTTCCAAAATTACCAGCCTAAAAATCACCCATAACTTTATCAACGGGGACGACATTCTCGGCAAAGTCCTTTTGTCTAAAGTCTTTGGCGAGCTGCCTGCATTTGAGCGGCTTAGAAAGATGAGCTATGTCAAGAGAATGGATCGTGGAAATTGGGAGAGAAATCAGATTGTCGAATACGTTGCATCTCTCTTTCACATACCAACAGTCACGGATATGTCCGTCTCATTGACGAATCAGCCATTTGAGTGGCCAAGAGGAGAACCTGATCTCGACTGCCTGACTTCGCTGCATATCGAGTGGGCTATTGGCTCTGTCCTAGCTGAAGTGCTTCTCCTTACACCAAACCTGAAATCACTCTCCTGGCGCTGGATATATCACGACAGTGTCAATGACGAGCGGGAAATCACGGTTTTGGACTATGACCAGGTTTTTCTAGCGGTATCGCTCGTCGAGGAGACATTGGAAAAGCTGGTTCTTTCTATGGTGGTTGGGGATGATGATTACGATAGAATCCCTGTGGGGATGGATGTTCGGGGATCTTTCAGCCGTCTCTCCGAACTTGAACGACTTAAAGAACTATCCATCCCTATGGTATGCCTCGCAGGCTTTGGAGCCGAGCCTATACCTTTGAAAGAATCTCTTCCGGATAGTTTGGAGGTTCTTCATCTCGGAAGGCTAGACTTGATCGACTTTGGAATCAAACTCAAATGGATGGATAATTATAACAGCCTAGATGAAGCCATTGGTCAAATGATGCAGTCTTTGATTGAGACTCATACAGGAATTCACATCGTGACTTCTTCAGTTTGCCAAAAGCGGTTGGAGCTCAGGACGAAACGGTGTGCTCCAGGCTGCCATACTTAGCTCATGGATGGTCAGACAGAGATGACTAGATGCGGTTTCACTCATGGTTTTCCTATATGCTTCCACCAATTTATGTTTATGTATATTATAATGATTCACGCCAAATGTATTAATAAAGGAATCGCGGTGTGCTCCATTTTGTGGTGAATTCATAGTGTCTATGGTATGGCTTCAAGACCATCACGTATCAGAGGCTTAATAATTTATTTGAAGCGATGCTCGCAACTATTGACGTCCACAGGACCACATCTAATGGGACGCACAAAACCAGATACTGGCACAAGTGCGGGAGAAACCCTCATCTTCCACTTGTTGTCAACCCGGAAACCATGTATCGTCTCGGCCGTAATAGAGCTAGGTCGGATAGTACAGGGGGGGAGCCAGGCTCGTCGCTCTTTGTAGCCTTCTAACTAGGTAGGATCTCTGGTATGACGAGAGACCGGGCTGCCAGTTGACGATGGAGCTATCGTGGAGTTTTTTTCTATTCTTGACGGCGGGAGCTCGCGTACCTACCACCGTCGTTCAGACACTATGCCGCATAGGTACATACAAATCCATGAATTCATTAGGGCTGGATCACCACGTACCCAATCACAAGTGGGTCAATGTGCGGCTGAGCTCAGCTGTTCACGGTAAGGCTGCTACCAAATTAATTAATACTACCTAGACGGAGATGCAGAGACGACTCGGACGAGATTCGGGAAGGAACCATTTAACAGGCTGGAACAGGGATCACCGTGTTCAAGGTTGCAATAAATAGGTTCGACCGCGTCCTGCAAAAGTGCCGGAACTGTTGGCCGTTTGCCGGACAGTAGTGCCAAAACAACGTTTCTCTTGCATAAGATCTCGTTCTTAGTTCTATACAATCGTCCTCCAACACCTTAAGCAGCTAATAATAGACGCTTCACTCAGGCGGTTGATGGGCTCGGCTATGTAGGCAGTTGCCATACGGTCCCTGCCACAGCCGAGCCTTAAAATCAATCTTGACCGAAGTCCCAATAAGCTGCATGGAACCATTCTCATTTTGGGCATTCTCCTACTGGCACTAGTACTCAAGTGGGACGGTTTGCCTGCTGAATAAGGGTCTAGATACGAAGCTAACGTACATGCAGGTAGGCTCCTTTTCACACCTGTCCCAAAGTGTGTTCGCTGGCTCTTCAATGCATTGAGGAAGGATAATTTTAGATAAGGCTGATCGTGAGAGGTGCCATGCGCGTTTGCTAAGACAGAGCTCTCCGTTCATGTAAGGAACATGTTTGGGACTTTCGGGGTAGGTAGTGTGATTTACAATCCAGCAAGAAGTTTAGATATACGGCCCAGGTAAATATAATGCAAATACAGTTGCTTCACTCTTAGTCCAGTCACATAATTTCTGGATCTTATCAAATGCCCTGACTGTATCTAGTCTTCTGGGCCAACTTTTTTCTTTCCTTTGTCGTGAATAACTGCCGCCATGGCGCTTCCTCCGAGAGCATTGCTCTTGCTTTCCTTTCTGCTCTGTTGCTTCTGGAGCCTAGCACGAGCAACTACGAATCATCTTGAAGAACGACGAATCAGTAGTTTCGAAAATTCAGTACCTACTGTCATCCGATCCGATCTCGTTTCCAGGAATCCTTCGCAAGTCCTTGTCGCCCCTGAATTAGTCGAAAGAACACCAGACATCCCAGACGCAAGGGAAAGCAAACGAGGTCTCATTAAGAAGCTTGCTCCCGTTGTCAAGAAAACAGCAACTCCGCTGAAGAAGGCTGTCGCCACTACCCCTAAGAAGGCCGTTGCTGCCGTGAAGAAAACCGCCAGCAAAAAGGCTACTTCTCCTAAGAAGGCCACTCATTCCCCAAAGAAAGCCACCGCCGCCGTGAAGAAGGCTGTCACCAAGAAGACACCCGCGAAACCCGCGAACAGTGCAGGGAAAAAGGGTACTACTCCTAAAAAGAGTGCTGCTCCTAAGAAGAGTGCTACGCCTAAGAAGAGTGCTGCCAAGCCCAAGCCTGGTCCCAAGAAGGCTACCGCCTCTAAAAAGGTCGCGGCGAAGAAGACCCCCCCTAAGGCTGGTGCCAAGAATAGTGCTGCTTCTAAGAAGAAGGCTGCCAAACCCAAGGCTGATACAAAGAAGCCTGCTGGCAACAAGAAGCCTGCTGGCAACAAGAAGCCTGCTAGTAATAAGAAGCCTGCTAGTCACAAGAAAACAGCCAACAATAAGAAGGCAGTCAGCACTAAGAAGCCTGCTGGTAACAAGAAGGTATCCAACAACAAGAAGCCTGCTAGCAATAAGAAAACAGCCAACAATAAGAAGGCAGTCAGCACTAAGAAGCCTGCTGGTAACAAGAAGGTATCCAACAACAAGAAGCCTGCTAGCAATAAGAAGGCAGTCGGCAACAAGAAGCCTGCTAGCAACAAGAAGGCAGCCAACAACAACAACAAGACAGTCAACAACAAGAAGCCTGCTGGCAACAAGAAGCCTGCTAGTAATAAGAAGCCTGCTGGCAATAAAAAGGCAACTAGCAACAAGAAGTCTGCTGCTCAGAAGTCTCCTTCTAAGACTGGTGCAAAGAAAGCAGCTAGTTCTAAGAAGGCTGGTGCTAGGAAGGCAGCTGGCAATAAGAAAGCTGTCAGCAACAAGAAGCCCGCCGGGACTAAGAAGACCGGTTCCAAGAAAGTAGCCGACAACAAGAAAACTGTTAGCAATAGGAAGTCTGCTGGTCCTAAGAAAACTGGCAGTAAGACTCCTGTTAAGGCTGGTGCCAAGAAGGCCGGGAACAAGAAAGTTTCTGGCAACAAAAAGGCAGCTGGCACTAAGAAAGCTCCCGGGAACAAAAAGGCACCCAACGACAAGAAGAAAGCTTCTGGTGCCAAGAAGGTTGGGAGCAAGAAGACTGGTAATAAGAAAGCCAATAACAAGAAAGCCTTCGGCACCCAGAAATCTGCTGGTTCTAAGAAGTCTGGCAATAAGAAAGCTGGTGCTAAAAAGACCCATTCCAAGGCTGGCACCAAGAAGGCCAGTAACAAGAAAGCTGGCAGCAAGAAATCTTCCGGTTCGAAGAAGACTGGCAAGAAGGCCCCTGGCACCCAAAAGGCTGTTGGGAAGAAGGCTGGCAACCAAAAAGCTAGTGTTAAGAACACTCCTTCTAGGTTTAGCAAGAAGAAGGCCAGTGGTAAAAAGACCGTTGGCAATAAGAAGTCTGGTGTGAAGAAGGCTGCGGGTGCTAAGAAGGCTATTGGGAAGAAGGCTGGTAACAAGAAAGCTACTGGCAACAAGAAAGCTACTGGCAACAAGAAAGCTACTGCTGACAAGAAAGCTGCTGCTGACAAGAAAGCTACTGCTGACAAGAAGGCCGTCGGAAATAAGAAGTCCGTTGATCAGACTGCGAAAAGCAAGGCACCAGCAGGCGCAAGCTGCTCTATCGGAAGGCGCGACGGCGACGGCGACGGTGGATCATGCACTCTCGGACCACTTGGCATTAAGAAAGACCTGAGTCTCGTGGACGGGAAGGATGACGCAACGGTCTACAGCTCGGTCATCCAAAGGCCGGAGAACTCTCAGCCCCTGGACGATGGCCAACTTGCGAGCTTGGGCAAAGATGCCTGGCTCGAGATGCAGGCGCAGCACAAGGCTGCTGGAGGAACGGAGGAGAGCATGCCGCACACTATGCATGTCTATCAAAGCCACCCTGAACTCATCATCTCGAGCTCCCAAAAGGGCGGCCCTAGTCTAACGACAGACAAGAAGAACAAATCAGGACGGGAAGTACTCGAAGCTTGCGAGGAGAAATGGGTAAGCGAGGGGAGGAAACATCCCGATCACAGGCATGAGGCAGCCTGTGGCGAATACACGGGGATGCATATAATGGGCCAGAAGCATAACGGAAAGAAGCCGGACGAGAAAACACAAATGGTTGCTGTTCACCGGCCGAATCCGGCGGGTGAGGACAAGGACAAGGAAAGACCTGAGGCGACAAAAAAGGATATAAAAATCCAGCCACCTTGTGACGGTGTAAGTGAACCATCCTAGACGGCAGTGAGACTTAGCTAACATTTGGACGAAAAGGAACCGAGAGGTGGGAAGCCCGATGGCAAAAAGAATATTGGCGGTTGCGCGACCATGAAGGAGGTGACCGGGGCCTACATCGTCCCTGGTACGACAGAGGATAAAGCCTATGACTTAAAGGACGCCAAAGTTGAATCACACGCATTGGGTCCCTACGAAGAAGATACGGAATACACCGCACAGAGGGCAGAGAAGAAAGCCAAAGAACAGGCTGAGCGGGACAGAAAAATCCAAGAAGACAAAGATAATTTGGCAGCATCAATATTAAAGAAAAAGGAGGCAAACAAGGCAAAGAAGGCCCAAAAGAAGGCTGATAAAGCTAAAAAGGCTGCAGAAGCTGCAGAGGCTGCAGAGGCTTGAAAGTTCAAAAGAGCGAGGCTATTTCTACCAGGGGTAAAATTGTTGTTGTGTATATACATTGTTATTATTACTACCTTAAGGCATTAGGAGTTTTCGTTGGTTATTGTTTTCTACATCAGTCACAGCATAGATACTTGGAGGATACATTTTCAGTCACTTTAAAATTTATGATTTTCGTGTCATGTTCAGCAGCTATCTCAGACCAAGGAGTCAGTGAAATGGACATGCTGAATTGCCATCTAGTCAGCGGGTTTACATCATGGTGAGAGACATCGGGTTTCAAAGAAGCTATATAGGAAATTGAATGAGTAGAACCGTGGTTCGATGATATCCAAATCCAGTGAGAATTGCGAAATTAGATCCATTATTTCATTCCCTAGATGTCCATGAATATCCGGGTAGTAAGGATATTTCAGCCTAGAGATCCTTTATACCGGCTTAAAAGCCCACTTGAACATTGTTAAAGCCCATCTGGAGCTCCTACCTCACAAACGTAGACTTGTATACCAAGTCCAAAGAGCTGATCCAAATGTACTATCGTAAAAACATTAATAAGAACTAATTCGCAAGTTTCCTATACTAGGACACCAAATATATCTTAATTCAACCCCAAGAATACGTAGTGGCGGACATGGAAGGTCCTCACATGTATAGCGTAAGTCGCCACCCTAGTCAACGGTCCACCCCCCTCAACAGTCTACCTTCGATAATTAAATTATATAAGTTAACTATATATTTCTTAATATAATAAATTTTTTAGAATAAAAAGGAAGCTATTTAAGCTACCAGATAAAGTATAGCTCTTTAAAAATATAAGTCTTAAGTTCTATAGCTAAGATCTTAGTATCTAATTAACTCTTATACTAATCTCTTATATTAATAATATTAGAGATCTTAATAAAGTATTTATTTAGATCTGAATAAATAATATATCTTTTCTTTAGCTATAGGAGCTTATTTAATTTCTTTAGCTATATATTTTTAGTATTTAAGATAAATAGCTATATTTACTATTTATTAAGATCTTTATAGATCTTATAGAATAATAGCTAAATTATTAGATCTATTTTCTTCTTATCTATAAAGTTTTATATTAAGCTATATAGCTATTATAAGCCTATTAGAGTTATTATTATAGCTTCTTTTCTCTTTAATCTAACTATAAATATAGCTAGTATTATACTATGAACAGGGGCTGTATAGAGCCCCCTATAAAAGGGCTGTAAACAGCCAGTAGATAGAAAGAACTTAAGCCTTAAGAATTATATTATCTTATATATAAGTAAAGGTATTATAAACCTAGGCTTTAACTATAAGCTATCTAACTATAGCTATCCTGTAGTTAATAACTAAGAACCTATCTATAATACCTAAGCTAGTTATAGCTAGTTCTAAGTATAATAGGTAGTAGTAATTCTCTATTATTATAAGATCTTAAATACTTAATTTAATAGCCTAAGAGAGGGTAATAAAAGAAATACCCAGTCAGATACTAGCTGGAGCTAGTTTAAGAAATAATTACCTTAGTATATCCGATATCGAATATATATACTAAGTTACTAACTTCCTTGAAAATAATCTAAACTTTATACTATAAGGTAGATTATTATAAATAATAGCTATAGCCTGATCAGTTAAGATATTTATTAAATAAATTAACTCTGAATACCTATTTTTTCAGCTACTAAAAGAGTAGAATATTAAAGCTCTAATCTATTAGAACTTAATTAACTAATATATAGTTAGAGCTATCTGGAACTCTATAAAGTATATTATTTTAAAAGCCCAGGGACTGGGAATTATACTAGTAAGCAGACTAACTTTACTATATTTAGAAGACTCAGAAGCTGAGTTAGTAGAAGATAAAACCTTAAGGGAATAAACAGATATAGGTATAAGTAAAGACCCTGAAAACACCCCTGTTACCTCCTTAACTATATAAAGGCAGAGGACTCCAGTTAAGATATAGCTGGGCCCGGAATATCTTATATAATTATAAGAATAACCCCTACCAGTTAGACCTATTCCTAGGTATTTCTAGGTATATATACTAGAAAGAGAAAGACCAGGTAGTTCTAAGTTATTACTAAGCGATAGCTGAATATAGGAATAAGAATCTCCCTCCCTAAATCCTATAGTTAGCTCTAATAAGAGTTCAGACTTAATAGGAATAATATAGAGAAGAGATACCCTAATCTAATACTCTATTCTAATAATATCTAAAGACCTACTACTAGGGAAGAGTAAAGAACTACTCTTCCTAGGGCTAAAGTTTACCCTAAGGATAACTAATCTAGGAATAGTTATAGAGGAAGTCAGAAATAATTATACTATTCTAATAAATAAAATAACTAAGGGCCTCTAGAGGAATTCGGATATTCTTATAGAGATAAGATTAATAACTATTACTCTGCTTAAGTAGATACTTATTTAATTAACTATATTAAACAGTAACTAAACTATACTAGTAGTATCTATCTCTAGGAATAATCTGGCTCAGCTAGAAAAACTGATATCTATACTATTAGAAGATCTAACTCAATCTAAGGATAGTAAAGCCAGCTATAGATAGATTAAGACTGAGTAAACCCAGGATAATTAAGGAAAAGAAACCTTAGCTACTATCTCTTAAACTGCTAATTCGGGTATAGGAGCAGCTGCTCTAGTAGTACTAGGGGTAGATATAAACTTAACTTAGTTAAAGAATACTATATCTATAGAGTAGAATAACCCCGTCTGGAATATATCTAATATATAGAGATATAACTAAGTAATAATTACCTAGCTAGTATAGAACTAAGAATAGCTAAACCTAAACCTGAACTAGTAAGGAGTAATTAGAGTCCTACAGGATATATATATATCTAAATAGAAGTTAACTAATATTAGTATCTTCTAGCTAGATATAAGTAAGGAGCTAACTAATAATAATAAAGTCTTTACAGTTAAAACCTAAACTAGATTTACTAATATAACCCTATAGCTGAATATAGTATAAGATATAGTAGTTTTAGGTAGCTATAAGAGGGCTGAATATATTAGAATAAACCTATAGTAATTATTTAGAGGAAGAGCTTTAGCCTAGTAGTAGTAAGAACTGAATATAATTAAGAAGCTATTAGCTAGATTATCCTTTAAATAATAGGAGATAGTACTAAAAAAGCAATTTAGTTTGTAATCTGCTATAGTATTAAAAAAGCTTACTTTAGTAATATTCTCTAAAGAAGATCTGTATAAGGATTAATTACTATATAATTATATAGCTAAAGTATTCTAATAGGTAGCTGTATATAGAGAGATAAGTATACTCTAATAGCTGCTAAGAGTATATAATACTCTTAATCTGAAGTTAAAGGTAATATATATAGAACTATCTACTAATAATATAAAGGCTAATTAGTTAAATAAAGTAGAACTCAGGAGATAAGATATATTAGACCTTCTGAAAGTAATTAGGCTATAATAGTATTATAAAATAATAGATCTTATCAGTCTAGATATAAATACTATTTATCCCCCCTAGGGAGAGTCTGGAACTAATAGTAAGGCTGAGGATAGCTACTTCTCTGGTTAAAATTAAAGGAATAGTTATAGTAATAGGGGATACCGGTTATATAGTAGATAGTATTAAGGCTGTAATTAGTTCTTATAATATAAGAACTGGAGTCCCTCTTTATATAGTAGTAGGGACTAATAGGAAAGAAAAAACTATAAAGTCTCTTTTAGAGGAAAGCTAAGATTCTAGTAAAGATAATTTATATACTAATAATACGGATTATAAGAAGGTAGCTGATTTAAGAATAAAGCTTAACTCAGGGTTAATAACTCCGACTTTAATAATAAAGAAAGAGAGCTAAAGGATAAAGACTATACCTTTATTAAAGAGTTCTCTAAGGAGAAAGAAGAAGAAGCCTTAGAGGAGGAAATATTAAGCTTTACAGACTGCTATAAGATAGTAGCCTATATTTAGAAATAAGTTAGGCCTATACTTTTATCTAAAGAATAAGCCTATATATAGATTATACTATAGCTAGGGTAGATAATTAAGACCAGCCTATATCTGGATATATCTAAAGAGTTAGAGAAGAAGGTATATATATACCTTAAGATCCCTTTAAAGTTTAATAATAAAGATAACTCTTATAAGGTATATATTAATACTAGTACCTTAACTATTCTAGTAGATAAAGAATAGCTTAAGAAGTATAGTAGGAATATATACTATTATAGCTAATCTTTAAAGTAAGTAACTAGAGTTAATTTGAACTTCTCTATCTCGGAAGTAGTAATATTTAACTTCTATATACCCGGTATTACAGTAGGAGTAGAAGTATATACCTACTTTATAGTTACTACTGATATTATAATAGGACTGGGCCTAAAGTTACTACTAGGAACTTACTTCCTATATAATTATAGTATAAGAGTAGACTTTATTAATCTAAGTATAGTCTTTAGGTTAGTATATAGTATAAAGATATAAGGTAGTATATTCTAACTAAGGCTGAAGAAAGTAGTCTGTAATATCCAGATATAATAAAATACTAAACTATAACTAGGTAAAAGAGTACTAATTATAGTAAAATAGAGCTTCTTACTA